GTTTGGTCATTCGTGGCTCTTGACGCGGTGGTAGAGAGAATCCCATTCGGTAATATATGCCAAGTCTTGCCAAGGCGGTCCACTGCTTAATTCCCTGAACAGGAAGACTCCACGAGCATCGCGAAGCTCGGTGGACGTAACCCCGGCTAGCATTGCCTTCGCTTGGTTGGAACCTAGAAATCATTGCATCTGATTAGATTTTGCCCTCGGATTGTCCGAATGTGGCCGAACGTGGCTGTCTAGGCCTTCTATGGGCTGACCAAGGACTTGGCGCAATGACCCGGAACTTTTTTTAATATCGTCGCCCTCCAGCAAATGACACGTTGAGACACTGCCAAGGCTTTACATTTTGGTTCAAATATCACGGTGTGGCGTGCATTAGTTTTCCACCAAGTTGCCGACGAGGTGGACATCAAGCGCCGGATCTAATGCGCTAACAATAACAGGATCTCTATAAGGGCAGTGGATTCCTGGCTTTTTTGAGCTGTTTGAGTTCTTTCAAGGCTTTTCCTCACCCATATCAACATGGGTTTCGCCAGGTTCCGATCTACCTTCCGGAGGTCTTCGACCCAGGAGACTGTCACCCCAATGACTGTGAACGCAGACGAGGAAACCAAGAGAGATCTTGCTACCGATACTGTCGTTCCAGCCAATGCCAGTGATGAAAACCCGGAGGCTCCCACCGAAGACACCCAGCGTGGTGTTCGCGATGTCGAAGCCATCACTTTGAGCTGGTCGAAGACCATGCTGATTGCGGTCTTTGTCAAGTGAGTTTGATTATGAGAAATGAACGGCATCAGCAATCCGATAGTGGACTAACAGGATTTTTTAATAGCATCTGGTTCCTCTACTTCGTCAATGCAATGCAATCCTCGATTAATTACAGCTTGATGTCCTACGTCACCAGTGACTTCGAAAGCCACTCGCTGCTGAACGTCATTTACATTGTTGCAGACGCCATGACAGCCGCAGTGTACATCCCCACTGCCAAGGTCATGGACGTCTGGGGCCGTGCTGAAGGATATCTGTGCATGACCGTTTTCGCGACTCTCGGTCTGATTATCATGGCTGCATGCCACAACCTTCCTACGTTCTGCGCCGCGTACGTCTTCTACAGCATCGGTTTTGGAGGCATGACATACTGTGTTGATGTGATCACGGCTGATATCTCCACGTTGAAAAACCGAGCTTTGGCATTCGCCTTCACCTCCTCTCCATACATTATCACTGCCTTTGCCGGCCCGAAGGCAGCTGAAAGCTTCTATGAAAAGATCAGCTGGCGGTGGGGTTTTGGTTGCTTTGCCATCATCTTTCCCATCGTGGCTGCTCCTCTCTTCTTCATTTTAAAGGTTAACCTCCGCAAGGCCAAGATTGATGGTCTCTTGCACAATGAACCTACCGGCCGGACCGTGCTCCAGAGCATCTGGCATTACACCAAGGAGTTCGATGGTAAGTTTCTTCATACAAACCTTAAAAGTTACAAAGAACTAATTTCAAATAGCGTTTGGTGTTATCGTCTTCTCAGTCGGCCTCACGGTCTTCCTCCTTCCATTTACCATCGCTGCTAGCGCTCCCAATGGCTGGGGATCTGGCTATATTATTGCCATGATTGTAGTTGGATTTGTTATGCTTATTGTCTTCTTGGTGTGGGAGATCGTTTTTGCACCTACTCCGATGTTCGACTTCAGTCTACTGACAGATCGGACTGTCATTGGCGCATGTTTGCTTGACGCGACATACCAACTCTCCTACTACTGCTGGAACAATTATTATACTTCCTTCTTGCAGGCAGTGAATGATCTTTCTATCTCCGAGGCCGGATACGTCAGCAACACCTTTGACGTTGTCTCCGGTTTTCTTCTGCTCGGAGTCGGTTTCATCATTCGCAGGACTGGTCGTTTCAAGTGGCTTCTCTACATTGCCGTTCCTCTCTACATCTTTGCTCAAGGTCTCATGATCTATTTCCGCCGCCCCAACCAGTCAGTCGGTTATCTTGTTATGTGCCAGATCTTTATTTCTATTGGCGGATCCGTCTTCATTATTGTTGAGCAGCTCTCTATCTTGGCCGCGGTTGACCATCAGCACGTTGCTACTGTACTTGCCCTGTTGAACGTTGTTGGGACTGTCGGTGATGCCGCTGGTTCCACTATCTGTGGTGCCATCTGGACCAACACCTTCTACAAAGCTTTGCAAACCAGGCTCCCGGATTCTGCCATGGAAAACATCGATCTGATCTACGAAGACCTTCCAACCCAACTCAGCTACCCCGTCGGATCTCCAACCAGACTGGCAATTCAGTCCGCCTATGGTTATTCTCAGACAAGAATGCTTGCAGCTGGAACTGGGTTGATGGGTCTTTGCATTTTCTGGACCCTGATGATCAGAAACATTGACCTGAACAAGGTCAAGCAGACTAAGGGTGTTGTGTTCTAAGGTGCTAGAACTTGCCTTCAGGGATTCTCCTTTGATAAGACGGAAGTTGATTGATATTCTCCTCATTTCTCGCCAATTGTTTTAGTGGTTGTTTAAAATTTGATCAACGGCCTGGAAGCCGTTATCAAATATACAGTTGTGCTTTTTATCATATTATTTAATGCTTTATATATGTATAACGATCTGAATGCAGAATGTTATAACCTTTCTCTACTCAATTCCCCTTTCATCTAAAAATTTTAAAAGGTAAAAAAGACTTCCTTCCTCGATTCTAATAGCCACTATTGAGCCGCACTCAAAGCTTCCGTGGACATGCTGTGTGACACGCCAACTCAGTCCGGCCCTGATAATGCCAAGTCCCTAAATCCTACGAGACGCGACAGCCCTCCGCTCTGTAATGTGCCAAGACTCGCATTCGTAGCCCACGCCGGAATTTCCCTGGCCTATAACCCACTAGGAATAATTATTAACAATCGGCACCCAAAACTGTGAAATGGTACTACAATACTCCTCCCATTAAGTTACACAAACATACCACTAGTATGTAATGTACAGGATCCAGATACAGTCTCCACGCACTAAACGGGACAAGTATAGACCTCAGTAGATACCTACCTTTGTAGGATACAAAGTCCGGTGTCTTTCAATTAAATCCATGTGTAAGCAGAACTCCGGCCTCCGGCCTCCGACCAACTCCACTACACAGTGGAACCAGGGACCAAAAGGATCAGATAACTTTTTTTCCTCCTGTTTGCGCATCTTCTCGTTTGCTTGGCATCCAAGACAATCGGGCTTTCTTTCGGGTCGAACCGCCTGCCTGCCTGCCTTGCCACGCGTGGTTGACAGGGCTGATTCACAGCTTATTTTTGTTAGTAAATGGCCAAGCATATCAGCCAGCTTTGACCGGATCGCCTTGGAACATACCATCTATTGAAAGGTCGGCCGAGCTGTCTCATCCATTCCGTGGGAACTTGCATTGATAAATGCCTGCTAAAAGGGTTCATGTAGTCAGTAGTACAATTGCTCCGGAAACGATTTGAATAGCATCGTGTTGGCCAATTTCGCTAGATCATCTGATTAGATTGGGCTAGTACGGTTGTCTACCGTGGCGCTATTATCTGATCCGGTATCTTTCAATTTCCGTGTCTCGGATTGCTTAAACTAATGTACGGGGTACTGTCGGCCCGTTTGTTTCTACAATTCCCGGTTTATTGTCTCATCTACTTAATTAATGAGAATATTTCCGGTTCGATTATTGCGTAATATAGACTATATGCCAGGTTCTTTAAAGAGCCTGCTTCTGCTTAACAGAATGGACAAACCTTGTTCCTTGTTTAACTATATTAAATTGGTATCTAAGATATGGTGCCAGATATTGATGGGCAGATATTGATGCACGTCTGATGTGATTCCCCTTGAGGAACATCTTCTGCGATCATCGCCGTGGAATTCAGGGAAGATTTGCGTATTTAAAGTTACACTTATGTATGTCCCGCTAATCATTTCCTGAACGTGGGAGCAATCCGAACCTTGTAGAAGCTGGGCAATGTTCTCCAGGGTTTTCCTAACGTTACAGAATCGGGCATTTGGCAGCCTGAGGCTTAAGGCGTAGAGTCTGTCATGTTTGCTTCCTAGATCATTCACCCACACGCCAAGTCACGTGCCAACCGAGCCCTGAAAACAATACCTCCCCAAGTCAACGATTATGAGCCGTTTCCACACCCGCCACGGCCGCTATATGAGGTTTATAGCACTTAAAAATACATGAGGTTTGATTCTGCTTTTAATGAATATAATGTAGCTTTTTTAAACTCAGTCGGGCCTCTAAGGAGCTTTCTACGGCAAATAGAAAATAGAAGGATAGTCAAGGCAGGAAGCACATCCCAAGTATTCACGTCCAGGTAAGCGCCGGCGAGGTCCTTATGCTTCAAGTGAAAAATTTCTCCAAGATCTCTCCAATCTCCACCAATTCCGACCCTCCTTTTCTTCCCAACTCCTCTTCTTCCGACCTCTCGCCGTTTCTACATTCATCCATCACACCATCTGTGTATCCGGTCGTCATCTACCCATCAGGTCCGTCTGGTGATTCTACTCATTGATTTCTTTGATTGTCTGCCTCTGCGTGAGTATTCCGTCATTCATCCGAAGAAAATACAGCCCAGAGACACTGACATTGATGCGGCCCATCTCTAGGTGAAGTACCATCACTCCTCGTTGGCCATCCCCCGTTGTCCATCGCACGAGGATTGTTCAGCCTACAACATTCGAAAGACCCTTTCTCATGAGCCTAACAAGCTGATCGAGATCGGGAATTCACGAATCATCTCACCTTCTTTGCCCATCAGAGAAAAAGGTGCATACCCTCTTCTACATTGGCTTCAGGGCAGGGTTGGTCGTGACCATTTATTGAGGTAAGTAACTTCCAGTCTAGGGACGTTATGACATAGGGTCAAGGCTTATCTCGTTCCCATCCATTAAGCGCGAAACCCGAACCCCGAAATCGCAACCTCGAAACCCTAAGACATACATTTCATCCAATCTCTTTTGGTACATACAAGTTACTTGAGATGTCTCCAGCGGATGTTTGCCAATCTTCGGCGGAAGAGCAAGGTGACCATGAGATGCCCAACGTCCTCAATGCGGACACAGCCTCAAACGTTGTTGAGCTTGTTCCTCGAGAAGTTACCTCTGCTGCTGCCAGCCACCGCCAGCTCCCCCAATTCACCACAATAATCGACACGGCCAGGAACAGCGAGTGCCACCTGACGCAGCAAGACGATGTTTGCACTTGCCCCGGGTGTCGACGCGCTTTAACCCTACCCACCAACATTCATCCTCTTCCCACCCACACTCAGTCTTTTGCGACTCCTCTGCCTCTTGAGACTCCTTTGCCTTCTGAGACGCTTTTGCCACTTGAGACCCCTCTGCCTCTTAGGACTCCTCTCTCCATTGACGCTCCTCTTCTCGTCCACACTCCGCTGTCTACCCACTACCCTTTGTCTACCCACACTCCTCTGCCTCTTGAGACTCTTGTGCCTTCTGAGACCCTTTTGCCACTTGAGACCTCTCTGCCTCTTAGGACTCCTCTCCCCATCGACACTCCTCTTCTCGCCCACACTCCACTGCCTACCCACAACCCTCTGTCTACCCACACTCCTCTGGCTCTTGAGACATCTCGGCCTGTTGAGACCCCTCTGCCTGTTGATACCCCTCTGCCTGTTGAGACCCCTATGCCTCTTGAGACTCAACCGCCCCCTTACAACACATCTTCAGAACCCGATGAGATCTTCTGCAACGCAGAGCATCACATCAGCAGAGTCAGCCACAGCCAGACGTCTGCCATCCAGGCGCTTGTGAGTCCCATCGGAGTCTCATCTCAGCCTCTGATCAGCTCCCCCTTGACTGCACCGGTCGAGACTCCATCTCAGCCACTGCCTGTGCTGGCGAGAGACTTTTCATCCCACCCCGCCGCAAGCTCTTCCTCGCAGCCTTTGACTGCCCCACCTGGATACTCAGTTTCTGATCCTTCGGCCCCTGCCGAACTGTCTTTCTCTTACCGTTTTGTCTCATCAACCGAAACCTCTACTGTGCCTGATCTGACTCCAGCCAAAGACGATCAACCTCCTAGCAGAACCACAGTTGACCCCAAAATCGGACTTACAAATCTTGCAAAACTGCAGATAGCACTGCATATGAGGTTCATAAGGACAATTACGAACACTGCTTTTATGCCAGCCGACCTGTCCGCAATCATGATGCCTGACTCCGAATCCGAACAATTGGACATGTATTACTCCTTAGTCGAGCAAGTCGTCGCTCTCGAAATCGAGATTGGCTTACCTGAAGCAACCCCCTTCTCTGAAAATCAACATTCTGTGACCAAATTGCCTGCGCTCACCCGCCTCAATTTCTATCTCAAACAGTTGGCTGAGCCAATGATTTGCGATGTTCCCTTTGCCTGCGACTTCCATAAAGGCCCTCACCCCGATTTAATCACAGAGGACACTCTGTACCATCTGGAAAAATACCGTCTCTGGCTCAAGAACGCCAAGGATGGTTTGAATTTCAGGATAAAGGGTTTACGCGACGACTTGACAGAACAATTCAAGAAGGCACGAGACGATGTAAGTTATAATTTACCTTGCCCTATTTAAGGCTTTTTTGCTAACTTGAGAAGCCAAACGACGATGCTGTCTCCGATTGCAGCTCCGAAATCATCGAAAGCCTCCTCGCCAAATATGACAATGGCGAAGCGGTCACAGCAAATCTCCCAGGCAGCGAGCTTGTGCAGTTACCCCAAAAGAAGAAGAAGCGAAACAAGGGTATTCGCAAGCGGAAGGGCGCGAACAAGGGCAACCAGCAAAACACCGCTGGTCTAGAGACCTCCTTGGATGTTGCTTCGACGATAGAATCCCAGGACAACGGTCCTCAGAAGGAAGAGCAGCCGCACGATACTACGACTCTGGGTACTCAACAGCAGTCCCAGTCAGAGCTTGACGCAGCTTCTCCTTGTGACCTTGCTACTGAGAAGTCCCCCGATGCGTTCTTGACTGCGGAGCCCAAAGAGAAGGCCCCGAAGAAGAAGAAGAAGAAGAAGAAGGGCGGCAAGAAGCACCAGAGACACGGCCAGACGGATGATTTGTTGCCCCCAGGTGCTCAAGAATCACCTCAATTGCAGCCAGGCACAGCTGCGGCAACCGAAGCAACTTTTCAAGAGCCTTCGATGCAAACTACCCAAAGCACGGACAACATTGAGACACCTCAGGTCCTGCTGGACTCGGGTTCTTCGACCGAGACAATTTGTCAGGAGCCTTCGCTGCAGGACACCGAGATTGACGAAGCTCCTGCGGCACCCAAGCGAGTCCGTACTCGCAAGTACAACAAGAGGGGCAAGCAGGGCAAGGCCAAGCCTGCTAAGAAGCAAGGTGGCCGGCGCATTACTCTAGGGTCAGATGCTCTCCATTCATCTGAACCGGAAACTGATCCAATTGCTGCCGGCACCGAGCATCTGGGCAAGGCAGCGTCGGATGCCGCAATGGCCGAAGTCATTGAAGAAGAGAGTGTGCCATCCATTCCAGAGACACCAATCTCCGAGTCCGACCTCGAGGGGCCCGTCGCAATGCCGATGCCTGACAATTCCCAGGGAGCGATCCCTGGTCCTCTGTCTCTTTCTGGCGAGACCAGCGTCCGCCATGACCAACATCTAGGGTTTGCTGTCCCTGCAATCAGCTACGCGGAGGCGCTAGCTACGCCTGTTAGCTCCGACACCAGGGCCATGGCCCCAGGCTCATCTGAGCCATCCACGGCTGCTGTCACCCTCTCCCAAGAGGTCCCCATCGACACCTCCACTCCCTCTTTCGTTGGCTGCTCCACCCAACGGAAGAGGAACCGCCATAGCAAGTTGCACGAGAAGGTGCGTCGCGCGAAGCAGAGCCAGAAGAAGAAAGACGGCAAGCTCGAACGCGCGTCGGAGTCCTCAATTTCCACCGGCAACATCGAAAAGACGACCGGCGCCGAGGACCCGACCCCTTCTCCTCCAACTTCTCCAATCCCCACTCCTCCCCCCCAGCTCGCGGCCTTGTCCACCGTCGAGTCTGGCGACGCAAACCTCGACGAGACGACAGACGCCCGGGAAATTGAAGGTGAGACCGCACCCTGGTCTCCCTTCATGAACCCGTGGGCCCGGCCGGACACCGCGGCCGGCCGTCTGCCTGATGCCCAGTACCACCGGTCTGGGTGTCAGATTGTCTCGTCGGGGGGAGCGGTCACCCGGGAGGGGCGCCTGACCGAGCCTGAAGGCTCGTGTCGCGCGCGGGGATTCAGCATGTGCGGTTTCTACCGTGCATGCTGCTACCACCGGCAACGGGATCTGTGCGGTTGTCCGCCACACAGATCCTGTTGCTGCCTTCATCACGCAGGAGACTGCTGTCACTGCCTTGGCCCAGAAGCGGCCTCGGCCGAGCTCTTGAGTGAGCACCCTGACGGGGTGCTCACTCGCCCCTGGGTCCCCCGTCAGGGGTCCCCGGGCAGTGACACTGTCCCCTCGCGTCCGAGGGCGCTTACTGGCTAAATTAGCTGGTAGGTGGTGGTAGGGAGATGCTGTGGTGGTGGGAGTGGAGGCCGATGGGGCCTCTTTTCTTTATTCAGAACTATTTTTGTCTGTGTGTGCTGTCAGTCCCCGGTCACCCCCCGCTTGACTCCCATCTGAGTGGCGAGGTGACTGGGGACTGACTTGATGTATGATTAGAAACCCAAAAAGAAATCAAAAGAAAATTTACAAAAAAATGAGTCCAATGTAAAGCCTAAATGTAGGGAAGTTAAGCAATTATGAGTGTATAGTTGAAGGGAAGAAGCCTCATTGAATAAGAGGTAATACTTACCAAACCAACTGACAAAAGAAAGCTGTAAACTGCTATTTGAGTGAGTCTGCATAAATACATACCAAGCTGTATACTGGCGCATTGTAAAAGCTTGTCTGTATAACCAAGAAAGGAGATCATACCTCCAAAGTTGAACCAAACGCCGGGGGTTGGTATGAAAGGCTTTTCCAACATGGAAGAAAATTGAACGACATGACAACAAACCGACTCACATGAAAGCAAGCTTTAGTAACAAGAAGATGTATAGATTGACCAGCGTAATACTGTAGAAAATAGTTGACGAACCGTTACCAAGCGACTATGTGCGCGAATTGCAAGAACCCACACTTAAAAGAAAAGATGTTATAACATTTTTTAGACGACGTCCAAGTCGATTGTAGGTACCTCCGTTACGCCGCACCAGCAAATTATTAGGGCGCCGAACCCCAACAATAACGAACCCCGAATAGCCCCGAAACCCAAGGAGCACCCGCACCAAGAGTTCACACCGCTCCGGCTAAACACGGCCCCGGGGAGTATTTCTACCAATACCGATCTGGCCCCCGGGGTAATTACCCCGGATGTTCTTCCTATTACCGTTGTCCTTATTGGACTACACAGGGGTACACGGGGCTGGCTTTATTGATCATGCATGTTGGGAATATCTTAAGTTCATAGTCGAATACTCGGACTTGATTGCTTGATTATTGATTGCTTGGCTCGCTAGCCTCAAGCTCAAGACTCTATTACGCATGAACGATCGATACTTTCCTTTCCTATTTTCGTATTTCTTTCCTTCCTTGGCTTTGAGGTCTTTTCGGGATTGAATTCCTGTCTCGAAGTTTCTCTCCTCATAGGCTTTGCCTTGCTCCAGACACAGCATCTGTTCCAACCTATCGGATATAGCCTTAAGTCAACCAGAGAGCAACATGCTAAGATACACCTAAATCTACAATTTAATACATAAAGCAAGCATGGTATTCATGAAATCATAAATTTTCCTGGTATCTATAGCAACAAAAACAAATACACTGATCCACGCTCTCTATGTCCGAAGGCTCTATCGACCAGTCTATACAAAGGCCCAATTACTGCTTATCGGGGAAACCAAAGTTAACACCGAAAGGAGGGAAGACAAAACGCTGGAACTTGTTCTCGGCCTTGAGCTGGTCGCTGTACTTCTGGATAGTAGCCAGATCCTCGGCGTCCAGCTTGATCAGGTCGGCGCGGTTGGCCTCGATGCGGGCTGGGGTGACGGACTTGGCCAGGACGGAGGAACCACGGGCGACTGTAACATTGTAAGTTTTTGATTCTTGAGGATTTCTAATGGTATAGATTGATCACTTACTGTGCCAGCTGAGGAGAACAGTAGCAGGGGTAACACCACGCTTGTTGGCGACGGAGACAATGGGCTCGGCAGTGAACAGAGGGCTGCCAGTGCTGCCGAGAGGGCTGTAAGCAGTGATGTGGATACCCTTCTGCTTGCAGAAGTCCACGATCTCCTGCTGAGGCAGCGAGGGGTGGTTCTCGATCTGGTTGGCTGCGGGGATAATGGTGGCCTGGGGCAGGAGCTCCTCCAGGTACTGGACACTGTAGTTGGAGACACCAATGGCCTTGACCTTGCCGGTGCCGACGAGCTTCTCCATGCTCTTCCAGGTGGTGACGTGCGAGTGGGAGTGGTCAATGTCCCGCGATCCATCGGGAAGCTTGGGGAAGATGTTGTGGTTGCCTGTGCGGGGATTTGTTTAGTTCGTTTGATCAATACTGTACGTTCGGAGGTCTTGTTTTAACTCACCCTTAGGGTTCATGGCCAGGGGCCAGTGCATCAGGTAGAGGTCGACATAGTCGAGTCCGAGATCAGTCAGACTCTGCTGCAGACCCTCCTCGACGCGGGCGTGGAACGAGCACCACAGCTTGGTAGTAACGAACAGGTCCTCGCGCTTGACGATACCGGAGTCGATGGCTTCCTTGATTCCCTGGCCGACCTCATTCTCATTGCCGTAGCAAAGGGCAGCGTCAATGTGACGGTATCCGACCTTAATAGCATGGGCGACAGCGCGTGCGACTTCGCCGGGCTGGGACTGCCATGTTCCCAGGCCGAGGGCAGGGATCTCCGCGCCGGTGTTGAGCTTGAAACGAGTATCGCAGGCAGCCATTGTGAAAGATTTGTAGAGAAAGAAGAATATTTACAGAAGAAGAATTACAAGTCCCGATAGAAAGTAAATGAAGGTCTCGTTACAAAGACACCCCGAGTTCCCCCACGCGGGGTGAACTGCCCCGCGTCACGGGTTTTTCCATCAATCACCGCGATTCAGTGTGAATTCTCTGGAAGTCTCTGGAATTCGGGTTCTCATACAGACGTAAAGATGTTTTCTATGTCGGTAACCCACTCGGCTCTCCAATTTCCATCATGTTTACTTAACCTTAGGAAGTATACTCCCAGACAAGATGACTCAGCACGGAAACTGGCTTCCTCGATGGCCTCAAATTCCTCGACTTTTCTCCGCTTGACATCAGCACCCACTTTTTTGGCTCAACTTGCTGGTGGCGGCCAATAAGAACACGCGATGAACAGCCCAAGTCAGATCTTCATCGGCGCGGAAGCCAGAATCCGTGATGTTTCACTGCACACTCGTTTAGGGCACATCATGGGTTTTTCTGGGGAAGGTTTTCGGCGCACAACGTCGAAGATCGGAAATCTAGACGCGATATCCTAACAAGGCATTTTCCCCCGTATATACCCTTTGATTCCTATATATACGCCTATCATCCGGGGGTAAATTATCTACTTCACAACTCGTTAATACATTTGGATTGACAATCATTGCAATCTCATTTGACAAAGACTTTACATCAACATCGTTCAAAAGAAGCATATCAGCTTCTTCACACACCCTTCACAATGGCACCAGTCGCCGTTTCACCTCAGGCCACCCCCGTCTTCAACAAGCGGGACGGCCAGGCCCTTGAGGACCTCTCCGACGCCATCGACGAGGTCAACGTCCTCAAGGACATGAAGAAGCGCGAAGCCGAGAAGAAGATTGCCGAAGAGAAGGGCCTGTACGAAGAGTCCGAGTTCGACAAGGAGAAGGACAAGACCAACTTCCGCCAGTACGAGGACGCCTGCGATCGCGTCAAGAACTTCTACCTGGAGCAGCACACCAAGCAGACAGTGGCCTACAACCTGCGAGCCCGCCACGCCTTCCATAGCAAAGTCCGCGCAGAGATGACCGTCTGGGAAGCCATGGAGAAGCTCAACACCCTGATCGACGAGTCAGACCCCGACACCAGCCTCTCCCAGATCGAGCATCTCCTCCAATCCGCCGAGGCCATCCGCCGCGACGGCAAGCCACGCTGGATGCAGCTGACCGGTCTGATCCACGACCTGGGCAAGCTCCTCTTCTTCTTCGATGCCGACGGCCAGTGGGATGTCGTCGGCGACACCTTCCCCGTTGGCTGCGGCTTCGACGAGAAGATCATCTACGGCCGCGAGTCGTTCCGCGGAAACGAGGACTTCGAGCACCCCATCTACGACACCAAGTTCGGTATCTACACTCCCGGCTGTGGTCTGGACAAGGTCATGATCTCTTGGGGTCACGATGAGTACCTCTATCACATCGCCAAGGAGCAGTCTACCCTCCCCGACGAGGCGCTTGCTATGATCCGTTATCACTCTTTCTACCCCTGGCACAACGCCGGCGCATACCACGAGCTGATGAATGACCATGACCGTGATATGCTCCGTGCTGTTAAGGCTTTCAACCCTTATGACCTGTACAGCAAGAGTGATGATATTCCCAGTGTTGAGGAGCTGAAGCCTTACTATATGGAGCTCATTGATGAGTACTTCCCCACCAAGGTTCTCAAGTGGTAGATTCCGAGGCCAGGGCTTGATGCATATTTGTTCTACCCCTTTTGTTTTCTGAGATTCCCCTTTTTACCATTTGGTATACACTATCATGACACGAAACAAGCGTTGGTTTTTAGAATTATATTTTGTCATTCTTTTCAGGCAACATTTTCATCGATAAAAGGATCAGACTTTGTAAATTTAGTATCTCATCCAAAGTGCATACTCATCCAACCAACTCCATTCGGTTCTCTTTTTGGTTATAACAAATCGATCCCATAAATCCGTATCATGATTATCTCATTAGCCTCTTAATATCTATCGCAATCCATCTTATTGTTTTAGACTAATCAACTACCAAGCTGAGGGTCACATCAGTAAATCACTGACATAGCTTCTAATTTCGATGACGTCATTTGATGGCCATCTCGAGCTTGACACACGAAACTAGAATTATTGGACTTCGCAGGTTGCTCTTTACAAGAATGGCAGAAAAACAAGAATCAATTATATGACGTCCAATATCTTAAAAGCTGTCCAAGTATTATGAATTGATTCCATGGCCACGGTCAACGGTTCGATCTAGGCGGCGTCACCCGGGAAGCATATAACTTGGAAACCACGTCACCGAAACAAATGAACCCCACAGTCCCAGTTCACGAACTGTTTCTGTCATAAGCTGGACTGGTTTTACACAGCTCGAGGTTCCTCCTATTTAAAGTCATGCGCCTGCCGCTCAAGAGCCACAGCCCCAAAGTGATTCCTACATTTTAACTTGACCTGTCGACGATTATTGCACACCACGATAGACCTTTCCCATTTTTATTTCGTATTTCGAATATTCTCAACATGCTTGGACGAACTTCAGGGCCTGCGGCACGGTCCGCCAGACAGCAACTCCAATCCAAAGCTCGTTTCATCAACTCTCGCTTCCAATCCACCGCGTCCACTGCAGCTTCTACTGGTAGTAATCCCGCTTTGATCGGTGGTGTTGCCGGTGGAGCCGTCGCCTTCGTTACGGGATACACCTGGTACCACTTCTCCGGAGCCAAGACGCTCGTGAAAACCAGCAAGCAGACTCAAGCATACCTCGACCAGGCCAAGCAAACTATTTCTCAAAACACACCCGAGCCCAATGAGGCATTCCGCTGGTTGCGGGACACGGCCAAAAGCTACGCAGTCTTGATCCCTGGCGCGCGCGGCTATGTCGACACCGTATTCGACGACCTCGAGAAGATCAAAAACGATCACGGAAAGGAATTTGACGAAATTGTCAGAAATGCATATACGGAGCTGAGTGATCTCGCAAAGAAGGAGGGAAGTTTGAACATGGCCTCGGCGTCGCGGGCTTTGGGTGTGATACAGAAACATGCAAAGCAGTTATTCGATCTTGCTGGCGACGCCGCGGAGAATGTCCTCGACAACCACCCTCAGCTTAAGGAGAAGGTTGGTGGTAGTTTTGATCAGCTCAAGGAGATGGGTGACGCTTATGGGCCCCAAGCGAAGGAGGAGGTGAACAAGACCTGGCAACAAATCTCCGGCATTCTTCAGCGCGGCGCGAGTGTCGATTCGGCTGAAGATATCAAGAAATTGATCCAAGAGAAGAAGACCAAGCTCGAAAAGCTAGGGGATGAGGCATGGCAGAAGGGTTTCGAGGAGACTCGGCAATACCTTGATAAGAGCCCCAAGCTCAAGCAATTGGTTGAAGACAATGCCGATACTTTAAAGAAGGGCAATTTACAAGATTTGTGGGGCCTTGTCAAGGAGAGCGCTTCTTCGGGGAAGACGGAGGATGTGGAGAAGTACATCAAGGACAAGGTTGGTCAAGCGAAGAAAAGCAGCTTGGGCGACCTGGACTGGCAAAAGATGGTACCTGGTGGATCTAGCGTCATCCCTCAGTTACAGTCACTACAGTCCATTGCGCAAAAGAGAGGTGGCGAGGCAGAAGAGGTCCTCAAACAGACTGTTGATGAAATTCAGGATGTGTTGAAGAAGCGAAAGGAACAGCTAGAGAAGATTGCCGAGGAAGGAAAAGAAGATAGCAAATGAGGGTTGTATGTACATAGACATACATATCATTACTCGAGCCGATAATATAGAATTGGGAAAGTTGTGAATAATGGCATTCTTAGACCGGTAGTCAATTTATGTAGCAGAGCTAAAAGGCATTTTCCACGCTATTGGCACGATGTTCAAGATTGCTTACACCTGAGAACTATAGACCAGAAGGAAAGGAGGCCATCCTATATAACAGTAGGTCAGCCTTGAGGGGCAAATCCAAACATAATACATCCTGTTTGGAGTGACTTCCTTTTATCTCTGGCACGCCAGGCAGTTATCTTACAGGCTGGTAAAAGGCCCGAATTTCATGCAACTAGGTTGAGGAAAGGTACACGTATACACACTTAAGACTAGTGAGATATATTCGCAGGGAGTGTATTACATATCGCCAAGTCATTTCTCAATGATGTTGCTTCTCCAGCTTCTTGCGAAAAGCCGCTTCTTCTCTGACAACCTCCAATGGAAGCGTTCGCCCCACGCCAAATAGGATGAAAAGCGCCCACTTCCAGCGGAACGGATTGACCAAAACAAGGAACACAAACCAGTATAGCAACTCCGTGTATGTAAAGAAATCGAAAGCTCCTGGCGGTGCTCCCTGCTTCATCCAGCGCGTGAAGTCGATCCAGGTCTTCATCCGGCCCTCTGTAGGCTGTGTGAGCGGATCAGTCAAGAACATGAGCAAGAACCGCGTATAAACTCCGATATGGATATTTCCAACTGTTCCGATAGCGTTGACGTAGGTACTGTTGTTGGCGCAGATGCTGAGGTGTTTAGGCGGGAAGACTTGGAGATACCAGTCAGGAGGGGAGTAGTTCTCCTCAAAAGCATCGTTGGGAAGGAACGAGAGTGATGGTCGTTTGAAGCCAGTAGCCATAATAATGATATCGCCCGGAACGACTCTTTCGCGACCAGATCCTCCCTTGGGTACCTCTTTTGACCGGTGGTTGAAAAGAATACCGTCCTCTTTGACTGACACGATATCCCCGCGTAGCCAACGTGCTTTACCCTCGCGAATGAGGTTGAAGAGATCAGAATTCGCCATAGGTGTAGTGGTGAAGAGGCCGCTCTCAGGTGCAATGTCCTCTAGGTCACGATAGAAGAATTTGTGGAGAAGCCACTCGGGCACCCACGCAAGAGATGTCTCTTCTCCCCAGATATTACAGGCCAGCAAGGACTGTACCAGGATATTCCGTGGAATAACCCATTTATCTGATCGCGAAAGAACATCAATCTCGGAGGCTCCAGAGTGGACTGCGAATTCCAATGCTTCAATAGCGCTAGCACCACCTCCAATGATGAGAGCTCTCTTCCCTTTGATGTCTTTACCGTCGAGATCGGACGAGTGGCAAATAGTACCTTTGAATTGATTTTGATCAGGCAGAGAGGGTATCTTGGGATCCCCACAAACTCCAACGGCTGTGATAACGCCGTCAAAGCTCCCATATTTCTCAGGGTGGTCATTGATAACCCACTTGCCAGACGACTTTGCCTTTTTAATGGACGTGACTGGTGTTCCAAATTCAGTATGCTCCTCTAAGCTGTACCGTTTCCACAGCTCGACAATCTGGTCGCGTATTTCTTGCTGAGTGGGATATGCGTGTTTGTATCGCACGGTTGGGTGGAACCGATACATGATGCTGTGGATCTGCAATGCGGATGTAGAGTTGACGCGCTGTTTGACCATAAGCGACAGATTGACATATATGAAGGTCTTCTTAACTTACACTCCAAATACCTCCTAACCCTTTCTCTTTCCCGCGTGCCTCGAAGATTTGTACCTCGAAGCCATGGCTAACACAATGCGCCGCTGATGAGACACCCGTCAAGCCCGCACCGATGATAGCGATCCTCTTCTTTGGCAGGCCTTTGTCAAAAGTCTTCGGGAACCTTGAGGGACCGAAGACCCACGCAATCAAATTTTGAAAGATAACATAGAATGTCGAGAAAAGATAAAGCAATGGGTTTGTAATGAACAGAGTCAACAGTGACTTGGCCATTTTCTGGAAGGCTTGGCAAATGGAGCCGAAGATTGTAGAAACATTTAGGAGATAGTAAAAACGGAGAAGAAATATATAGCCATGGGTAGCAAGGATTCAAAAAATGACGTTTGATCAGAGACAAGTTATGGGAATCACATCTCATCTTATGACGTCAAGGTAAGTACAGGATCCCAGTGTCCCAAATACCAATAAACAATGAGCTTGAATTGGCATAGCCAATGTAAGCAGTCGAATTCCATGAATTGCGAATTGCTGGAATGATGCAACCTCCAATTGATACAGTCTATCTGTAAAAAGGCTATACAGTTTAATATCGAAATCGGCTTAACAGATACACTCTTCGTCACAGTTCCCTAGCCCCACCGCTAAGGCCTTAGCGCAGATCCGTCATTGAGCGGGCTGCCGAGTCCCTCTCAACCCCGCCCCTCCTAACTGAAGTCTGGATTCATTTCCACAACCTGCGTTCTATAAAATCCTATTTTCTCTCATTTTATAGCAATATTCGAAAACAGATTCCCCTTCTTGCACTTACGGATTGTTTCCCAAGCCGTATCATAGAAAGCGCTAATCCATATCTGGTTACTCTACAAACAACCCCGGCCCTCGTCCACGTTTACCCCTTACACGCGAAGGTCATGGAGAAGAATCATTATTGACTACACAGACAACCCTTGGATTTTTGAATTCCTCCTCCGAAAATAGTAATGTTTGGGAAAGGCAACAGGACGTTCCCGATAAAGTCGGGAAAGAGCTGTTCCATAGAGGAACTGAAATAAACCGACAAGTTTGAATGTTTCAAGAAACAACCTCAAATAGCTATCGCCGAGCCATAGAGGCGATATCTTCGCCAGGGTTGCTGTAATCCACAAATCCAAATTTCGCGTATAAGGGTGCGCCCTCTTTACTAGCATCCACGTAAGCTTCAACTTTCTCAGCATCCGCTAGGTCACATCCCCATTTGACAAGCATGGAGCCAGCTCCTCGACATCGGTAGTCTGGATGTGTTGCAAGCGTGTCCAGATCTTCACCGGAAGAAGCAGTTAGCCTTTCTAGGGTAGAAACAACCTAGGAATGGGAAACATACAAAAGTGCTTTCTATCACCCATCACACGCTTCCTATTCTTGTCCTCTCTGTCAAAGAATTCCTCGCAAAGCTGTCTAGGCATGTCTTCATGCCAAGGCGGGAAGCGCTGCCCGCGTTCGTCAGGCATCGATAAATCCCATTTCGCATAGGCGGCTATTCGCAGTCGGCCCTGGTCATCTTTTGATTCGGTATCCACAACTTTCAAATATCGCTGGAAGGGTTTGTTGATGATGTCGTTGGTTATAGCGTCTTCCAGCCATTTGCGAACACTCGGGGTATCGGGAAAGACTCTTCGTATCTGGGGGCCCGTAAATGCTGCGAAGAAGAGGTTCGTAATGTCGGAGGTATCCTCAATGGTCAAGGGCTCTACTTTTAGTGTACTGGAAGTAGGCATTGTGGGGAAAGTAATAAGCAAAATGGCTCTGTGGTACGAATGCTCAAAGTTGGATTGTAACGAGGTTGATTGAACAGCCAGCCCATAGCCACTATTACGGAGATTACACATGCACTTAGAACAACATGTAGTCACTCCCTGCACAGGACCCGCTTACACTGCCCCGCATGGAGCGGCTAGTTGCCGTTAACTCCATTTCCTCAGTATTTTGAGAGGTGATATGTGATCGGTTTTCTACCATTTTACTAATAAAGGTACTATTTAGGGAGGTAGTATCGGTACCATGTTGTGCGTATAATTCTAACAATTCCTGAGATAGTGGAGCCGCAGAGGATGGATGTCAGGGCAAGGGACTCCGACTGGAATGAAGGTGACGAAGAGTGTACCTGTCAAGCCAATTCGAAAACAACTGTACCCAACAATCATAAACGAGCAAGCTCACACCTCTCCCCATTCTCATCAAAGAAAATCTTCTTCTGAGTAATAAGCGACTCCTGCAAAGCAGCCCCAATACGGACAGCAAGAACAGAAGACGCCAACTCAACTGGCAACGGCAAATCATCCAGACAAGCCGCCGAAAACTCCTGAGCCTCAGTAACAAAAGCATACTCAAAGCGATCGTAATAAGTCTGAGGGATTTCCCTCCGAATCCCACTCCCATCATAAATATTAACATGATTAAGCGCAGGCTGAGTATTAACCGCCAACTTCCCCTTGGTGCCTATAATCTCCGTAACATCCTCCTGGCCCGCAGCCATCATGCGCGATGCATAGAAGAACGCAATCCGACCATCATGGAACTCAACCAGGCCGACTGCATTGTCACGGTCGTTGTGTTTGCGCAGATCGGGCTCGACGGCTGTGATGCCGACTGCGGAGACGGATTTGATTTTGCTTTCTTTGCCGAAGAACCAGAGGGCTAGGTCTATGTCGTGAATTGAGCAGTCGACGAAGATCCCGCCGGAGAATTCGGCGTAGGCTACGAAGAAGCCGCTTGGGTCGAGTTTATCGCAGGTCTGGCTGCGGAGGACGGAGGGGGTGCCGATCATTCCAGCTTGCATCTTTTCGTAGGCGTCTCGGTAGGATTTGTCGAAGCGCCGGGAGAAGCCGCACATTACTTTTAGGTGTGGCTTTTTGGCGGCGGCGTCGATGACCGACTGGGACTATTTCGAGGGTTTGTTAGTTACGTTGTTTTGGATGTTGGAGTGGTTGGGGCGGCGATGTATAATTCGGGTGGGTCGGGGGTACATAGGGAGATGGAGATGCAATTGACTTACAACTTCCACACTGGTGGAGATGGGCTTCTCGCAAAGGACGTGCTTGTCCGCTGCAATCGCCTTGAGCGCCTGTTCGGCGTGCACTGCAGTGGCCGAGGCAACAACCACGGCAACCAGGCCCTCGTGTTTGAGCATGTCGTCGTAGTTCTGGTACAGCCGGACGCCGAAGGGCTCAAGATGAGTCTTAGCCCATTCGAGCTCGACGGGGTCAGGGGAGCTAGCAGCGACCAGTTCCGCTCGAGGAGTACGTTCGAGGAAGTTAAGGGCATGGCGCTTGCCCATACGGCCAAGGCCGGCACAGCCAATTTTCAATCTTTGAGCAGACATTATGTAGAATTGGATTGAATGGAAGAAAAAAAGAATCAACTGCCAATATGAATAGAAATAAACAAGCTCTTATAAGAGAAAGGTGGAGACTTAAAGCGGATGTCAGTCTCCGAATGTTCCTCCGCAAATGTGGGGTCGGAAAGTGAGTTCCAGCCCTGAACCCATTCGCGAAATAGCTATTATATGCCCAAATGAATATTACTCGGGTTTCTTAGAGTCCCGGCGTACCTTACGTTTCGCTGCCACATCAACAGGATCGGTGTACCCATCACCTCTCATCCAGGAAAGACCCTTGCGCACACCGCCGCCCTGCACGGCCTCCGGGTTGGTCTCGAGAATGGAGCCCATCATTGCCCAAGACAAGACAAAGAGCAGCAGCTCACCGCCTCTACGGCCCTTCCACAGTCCGCGCTTGACGCCGGTCTTGTACGCCGAATCAATAGCGGTCCTGAAGAAATAGAGGAAGGTGCTGCGGCTGTTGCCCAGGAACAAGAATGGCAGACCGCCCAGCGCTCCGCTGAGGAAGAAGCGCTTGGTAGGGAGAGTAGAGCGGGGGAGATTGCTGTTCAGGAGACAGACACTGCCCCAGGCTGATCCAATGGCAACAGAGAGGATAGCTGTCATCTTAATGATGCGCTTCGATATGCTGTTTAGCGAAGTCATAGGCTGGGACAGGATGGCCTTGAGCTTGGGGATTGAAAGAGCCAGAGTGATGGTTGTTAGGAACCGGGCAAGCAGCGGCACAGAGAGTAGGATGTGATGCAGGAACGCCGTGCCACAGTTCGGGAGGTTCGGGTGTAAAAGAGCGCATGATAGATTCGAGATCGCAGGGTGTGCTGGACCAGTAATTGGGGAAATAGATGACACTGACGAAGGCAGGGTATTGGGGTCACCCGGGTGTAGGATTGGAGAAACGAATGCCCTATGCCATATTAGCAACTTCAATACCCTCCCAGGACCAACACAGACTTACGGCCAGCGGAGATCCGCGATAGATGCAAGGGAGTTCACAATCTCCTCCTTCTCAGGCCATGCGACGTCACTCGGGAGCGCATCAGGTCGGGCCTGAATGTAGCTCGGCGAGAGCCTGAGAATAACATTTCCAAACCACTACGAAACCAAATTAGCAATCACAACACGGTCCAGCATTCTCCGGCCACGAACCTTAGGTGTAGTCTCCCGATCAAAGATGAAGGCATGGAAGAGCTGCGCAAACGAGACAGGCATCAACAACCAACTACCAAACCACCACGGCCGCTTGTCCAACCAGCCCTTGGAATCCAAAGCATTAAACAAGAACTCCAAGCAGCGAGTACTAGAGTAAATCGCGGCCGACAGGCGCAGCTGGTCCTGCGGGCAGATCCCCAAGGCGAAACCTGCAACACTGGCGCCAATGGCCGGTGCATAGCGCGAGGTCAGGGCACGCGAAATGCGCGGGTTTCGCTCTCTGAAAGGCTGCGCATCGTCTGTGCGAAGGTTGGCGCGTAGTCGAACGAGGAAGCGGTATAGGAGGCGATGGAGGAGTAGGAGGAGGGATAGGGAGATCGAAAGACGGAACTTCGGCGAACGAAGGAGCGGAGTGCGGTCCTTCTTCCTGTAGATGAATTTATTAGTATAACGTATCTAGAAACGGGCTTGGGGTATAGTTGGATCATACTGTGGAGCGCCCGTGAAACGACCGATAAGCAGCCCACCCAGCTTCAACGCGATTCCAGATCCAACAAAGACACGCAGCGATGCGCGAACAGCGGCTTCGCTGTGTCGATTCCTGGGACGAGCGATCGCATCGTATCTCGATGGCTCAGTGAGCTTGTTCTGAAGAGCTGGGATACGCTTGGTCGCTGTTGCGTGGAGGAAGCGATATTCTTTGGCGGTGAGACACACGCGGAGGATATCGCGTAGTGCTGGTGGAGGGAGGTCCAGCACATCCCCAGGTGGAGGGTCTGCGGACATCTTGGGTGTATTGTCCAGGTCAGTGGAGCTGAAGTCCGGGATGAGAAGGGGTTCTGGGCGGAGAAGCGGACCTCGGCAATTCTGTGCCGCGCATAGTGGAATGTGAAATGTGATGAGTTACTACATGTAATTTGTTCTACTCCGTACTGTAGAGTAATAATCTTGAAGGTTATGGAAACCGTGTTTGCTAGATTGTATGATGAGGGCCTGAGGCAGAAATAGGCAAATTGGTACTTTCACCTCAAAATAAGCTATTTTGTACCAAGAATAGCAAGCCTTCCACGACGCCCGGACGACTACATGTACGTAGGCGGACCATAACCCTGAGTTTTGTGGCGTGAATGTGGTTCTTCTTTTGACTGACTCCTTAATATATATGTCTACAGTATACTGTACTGTACTTTGCTCCTATCTGTGAATATAGCCACTATATATAGTGGGCCCATCTGGAGCAGGACTTCGCCCTGGACTACCCCTATATCTCCTGAAGAATGACAAAGAACGAGAGACAAGAAAGATCCTTGGCCTTGGAATATCCCGACATATCCGAGAAACTTGATTTATAATTGGAATTGTGTACTCTACAGTAAGCATCGTGGAGAATCAATTAATGAAAAACGCCATATGACAGTCTTCACGAATTAAAAGAGTGGAGAGGTTTCAGCGCCACTAAATACTTCGGGATCGGCAATTTCTTGAGCCGAGCCCTAAGTGATAGAGATTCATGGGACATGTAAAAACCAATGGTCCAAGGGGGCATAAGTATGAAACACAAGCTCGAGGCAGCTCCACATGGCTTCCAACCGTGTGGATAACAGCCCTGCAACTGTCAATCACCGCAAATCCCTATTGGACAGCGAGTAGTTCGTGCCAATATGAAACCGTAGCTGGTCCCGGCTTCATATTTTAACCGAATATCTTCCGAGATTTGAGTCCATTCAATTTGGTTCGTTTTGCAGGCTAGAGCCTGTGGGTGTGGATGTGAGTGTGAGTGTTTCGGAGTATTACCCGTTATAGACAGCCGTAGCACATTTAGATTAATACAACGGACAAGCTAGGTCCCTGGTTCCCAGACTGGCTGTATAGGCGTAGCCCTATGGATACACTATGGAGATGAACCAACGCGCCACTGCGGTAGGCGCAAATGGAGGCGTTTCATCATTAGTGCAGGGGTTCAGGAGTGAGGCTGCATTGAGACTTTAAATATCAAGTCCAATGCAGTCGAATGTATTCTTCCATCCAAGTCATTCTTTCTTCTTATTTCCTGTTTATTGCTTTCAACTGGGCTAGCCCCGAACACTTTCACTCTCTTTACCTTGTCTGTTGATCGGACATTGATTCAAAATGCGTACTTCATTCCTTTCTATGCTGGCACTCGGCGCTGCCGCTGTGTCCGCTGCCCCTGCTCCTTCGCCCGCTTCCGGGATGGTTGAGCGGTCCTCCTCGAGCTGTACCTTTACTTCTGCTGCCAGCGCAAAGGCTGGCAAGAAGTCCTGCTCCACCATTGTTCTGGATAACATCGAGGTTCCTGCCGGCGAGACCCTGGATCTCTCCAAGCTGAAGGAGGGCACAAAGGTCATCTTCAAGGGTGAGACCACCTTCGGATACAAGGAGTGGAAGGGCCCTCTCATCCGCATGTCCGGCTCCAACATCGAGGTCTCCGGCGAGGAAGGCCACGTTATCAACGGTAACGGAGCCAAGTGGTGGGACAGCAAGGGAACCAACGGCGGCAAGACGAAGCCCAAGTTCTTCTACGCCCACGGTCTCGATGATTCGACCATCACTGGCCTGAACGTCAAGAACACCCCCGTCCAGGCCTTCAGTGTGCAGGCCGACAACCTCGTCCTCGACCAGATCACCATCGATAACTCCGATGGTGACGACAACGGCGGCCACAACACCGATGCCTTCGACGTCGGCGAGTCCACTTACATTACCATCAGCAACGCCAACATCAAGAACCAGGATGACTGCCTGGCCGTCAACTCCGGCGAGAACATCATCTTCACTGGCGGTACCTGCTCCGGTGGCCACGGTATTTCCATCGGCTCCGTTGGCGGCCGCGATGACAACACTGTCAAGAACGTGACCATCTCTGACTCGACTGTGACCAACTCTGACAACGGTGTCCGCATTAAGACCATCTACAAGGCCACCGGTGAGGTCTCCGACGTGACCTTCTCCAACATCGAGCTGTCCAACATTGCCAAGTACGGTATCGTCATTGAGCAGGACTACGAGAACGGCAGCCCCACTGGCACGCCCACCACTGGTGTCCCCATCACCGGCCTGACTGTCGAGAAGATCACCGGCACTGTCAAGAGCTCTGCTACCGATGTCTACATTCTGTGCGGTGATGGTAGCTGCTCTGACTGGACCTGGTCTGGCAACACCCTCTCCGGTGGTAAGACTAGCAGCAAGTGCAAGAATGTGCCTTCCGGTGCTTCTTGCTAAATCAGTCTTGCTGGTTTGGGCCCTGGATCCGTCTGCAACGAGTCAATTGTGCAGTAGACTAGACTTGGGGACTTTCGAGTGCCGTTGCACATTATACAGACTTTAATAGTCTTAATAAATATATTTTGACTTGCATAAGAAGTATAGAATATCCCGTAAATACAAGTAGAGTGATGACGTTAGCCTAGTTGAACCCTAAATCAGATTGGGTTTTCCAGATCTGATGACGACATCATGGAGATCATCTCCCCGCACGCGATTAACAATCAAACCGATCGTCGGAGACTTATATACCTACTTAAACCTTCTCTCCTCCCTTCATCTCCAATTCAATTCAAAATGCAAGTCCTTCTCCTCGGCGGCCATGGCAAAGTTGCCCTCCACCTAACCCCACTCCTCCTCAAGCGCGCTTGGAACGTAACCAGCGTGGTGCGCAACCCCGACCACGAAAGTGAGATTCTAGCCTTGGGCAAGGGCCTCAAAGGCAAAGTGAACGTACTCATCTCCAGCCTGGAAGACGTGAAGAGCGCAGGCGATGCACAGAAGATCATTGACACCGTGAGCCCAGACTATGTGGTCTGGTCGGCTGGTAAGGATTTATTCCCAACCCCTCACCACACCCATCTCGACTTTTGAGCTTCCACAACACGCACCACAGCACCACAGCACCATATAAAACCCAGACTACAGAAATAGATATATACCTCCCTGAATCCATTATAAAACCCCCTTAAATCCCCAACAAAAAGCTAACCCCAATCCCAGGCGCGGGCGGCAAAGGCGGCCCAAACAGCACAATAGCGATCGACCAAGAAGCTGCCAAACACTTCCTAACAGCCTCCTTCGCCACAAAAGGCATAACAAAATTCCTAATGGTCTCCTACCTGGGCAGCCGCAAAACGCAACCAACCTGGATGCCAGACGACCAATGGGCGGGGATCGTGCGCATGAACAGCGAAATCCTGCCCACCTACGCAAAAGCCAAGCAAGAGGCCGACGAGTACATGACCGCGCTCGCAGCGCAGCGCAAGCGTGATCCCTCTGCGGGTCACTTCCAGGCTATTAACCTTCGTCCTGGGATTTTGACTGAGGAGCCTGCTACAAGGAAGGTTGAGTTGGGGATTACGGCTAATGGAAGGGGGAGTGTTACCCGGGAGGATGTTGCTATTGTTGCGGATGAGTTGCTTGCGCGGGCTGATACTGAGGGGTGGCTTGATCTTGTTAATGGGGAGGAGGAGATTAGTGAAGCTGTTGAGAGGGTTGCGAGGGAGAAGGTCGATGCTGTTGCTGGGGAGGATGTTGAGGGGATGGTTAAGCGGTTCTTTGGTTAATTTATATACTTAGAGCTGGAGATGGATGTAGACTTCGGGCATTTTTTCGGTTTTATATGGTTTAAAGTGAAAATGAACATGATCATAATTGTAAATTTGTCTAGTGTATTGCTTTGCTCTGCAAGATAATCTTTGGGTATCCACATTCACAGCTTCGCCTTTGGCGCCTTGGCCAGATCCTTGAACCTCAGCTTCAGCAGACGGCGGAGAATCTTCCCACTGGGGTTCTTGGGGATTTCTTCCACGAATTGCACACCACCGCGCAGCTTCTTATGATGCGCCACCTTGCTATCCAACCACTTAGCGATGTTTGCTGCTTCCTCCTGCTCAGTCCTACCAGAAGACTTGCTCTTTGCGCTACGCACAACACAAGCCATAGGCACCTCCGAGCCATGGGCATCACTCTCGATACCAATAACAGCAACATCATCAATGGCATCATTGTCAACCAAAAGACCCTCCAACTCAGCAGGAGGCACCTGGAAGCCCTTGTACTTGATAAGCTCCTTAACACGATCGGTGATATAAAAGTGACCCTTAGAATCCTGGTAGCCAACATCGCCAGTCTGGAACCAACCATCCTCAGAAAGACAGTTCCTAGTAGCCTCAGGGTTCTGATGGTAACCCAAGAAGACATTCGGTCCACTAAGATACAGCTCACCAACCTCGCCGACGGCAACCTCAGTAGGTGCAGATCCGTCCTCGGGCATGGTCATGTACTTGGCTTTCATGTTCGGCATAAGGCGTCCAACAGAGCCAATGGCTTCGCGCCAGTCTTCCCACCGCTGCGAGTGGGTGGTCGGGCTGGTCTCGGAGAGTCCATAACCTTGCTTGATGCCGACTTTGATGCGCGAGTACACGGCCTCGACCAATTCTTGAGTGAGTGGTGCAGCGCCGGAATTCATCATTCGCAGACTTGACAAGTCGTACTTGTCTACTACTGGGTGCTTGCCCAGTAGCAGTACTACGGGTGGGACGATGTAGCTGAATGTGCAGCGGTAGTTCTGCACATGTGCGCACCACTTTTCGATGTCGAACTTTTGCATCACTATCAGATGGTAGCCCTTGTAAAGGGCCTGAGTGATCAAGCAGGTCAATCCTAAGAAGACGTAGTTAGTACCTCGTTCTGTATACTCCAATCCAATCCCAATCTTACCATAAATGTGATAAAAAGGCAAAAAAGCCAAAACACGATCCCCCTTCCCATCATGCCCACCATTCCAACTCAACTTCCCCCCCTCACCAATAACCTGCTGCATAATATTGGCCACGATATTCCGATGCGACAACATAACACCCTTAGGCACACCTGTCGTCCCAGAAGAATAAACCAAAAACGCAACATCCTTCTCCGGTGCAATCTTCTGCTTCCGATAACGCGTAGCACCGGAGATATTGCGAACAGAAGTGAAATGCTTAACACGGGCACTCGGATCCCGCTCATCACCCACAAGGAAGACATTATCCGCAGGAATGCCGACCTTCTTCGCTGCCTCGGCCGCGACAGCGAGCACAGACGCGTGCGTTGCAACAGCCTTTGCGCCGGAGTTCTTTAGCTGGAAGGCTAGCTCGTCGACGGTGTAGGCTGGGTTCGCAGGCGAGATGACTCCGCCTGCCCAGAGGGTTCCCCACATCAACACGGGCGTGTCGATGGTGTTTGGTGTGAAGAGGGCTAGCACGTCGCCTTTGCGCCAGTCGTAGAGGGCTTTCAGACCCTTTCCGAAATCTAGAGAGGCGTCTCTGAGAGACTTGTACGTGTAGTGTCGCTGGGTGTCGGCATCTTGGTAGAGAACTGGAGCGTGGTGTTAGCGTCAGAAAAAGAAGATATATATGCGCTAAGTGTTTAGAGTGTACGCTATCCATTGGATCTCACGTACTCTTGTCATCCGGAAACGGCCTGTCCTTGCGCTCGAACAGGAACGTCCAGAGGTCCAGCTCTGGGATGTCGACTGGGGGGTAGTTCGAAGAGACTGGCATATTGCGGGGGAAAGACGGCCGATCCGGGGAATGTGAAGGAGGCTCGAGAGAGTCGGCAAGCCGGGGTATGTATGTAAAAGAGGAATGTGAAAGCAAGAGCGAGTTACTTAAGAGTTGAGCTTTCTCCGCAGTCTCGGTACTCGAGTGCCGGGCTGCCTCGGTCCATTCCTTTGATTTAGAATCTTGACCAATACCCGAAGACCGGTTCAGTTAGCACCGGAGTTAAGAGTCGCTTGGGGACCTTTTTTTTATGTACTGCCTAAAGCCAGTTGGGCTCGGTGAGAGTGATTTCGGCACATATTGAATCCTTATTCAAAACCTAATTGGATCCAACGCGCTTCCCATACAGTTGAGGTCCCATATAGTTGAAGTCTTGGGATCTCGGTGATTTCGGCGTTTTTTGACCGTTTTTAATTAACTTAGACAGTATCGGCGGATTATGTAATCTGGGGTCAAAGCCAACTAATATTGTAACATCACGGAGTATACGGAGTGTACGGAGTAAAGTAAGTCATATTGTGTGGTAACTTTATAGGTTGATATACTATGTTGCGAAGTGGCTTCTCGACAACTATGGAACAGCCCGAGTGCAGGTAAACACTTGACAGGCTATAGAATCCCATTAGCGCATCCCTACTGACAGTTCTATGTAGTGAACTTCATTTAGAAATGGAGATACATCAAGCTAAACGTGTATGCGCCGAGAGTTCAGACCCTGCGTCAAATCCAAGACTATATATTGGGCGACAATGTTCACTACCGTGTCGGCGAGACCTGCCAGTTACATTCTACACGTGCGATAATGAAATTTGTAGTGTCGTTAGATTAAACTCCATCCCCAACAACAATAAACGAGACCGGGGAAAGAGCATCTTTTTTACCTCGCCAGGTTAGACGAGGGACCGAATCAACATCCCAAAATGATTTCATGCCGACAAGATCTTAAATTGAGTTGGAAACAGCTGACCCGCACTGGAAATACATGCTGAAAAAAAGAGCCCAGTTGAAAGTTGTGCTGAATTCCATTTTTCCTTCCCAGCACCATTTCCTCCACACGCCACTCCGAGGGGAATCGTTTGAAATCGTTTACTTGAGGGGAATGAAACGGGAAGAGTGGGTGGCACCGATACCGGGACGACCGTGCTTGACGGGCTTGCTGGGGGGCTGTTAGCGTTGTGCTCAAGGCGGAAGGTTATATCTCAGGGAACACATACTAAGAGATAGAGAACTCAGCCAGGTAGTGGCCAACCATCTCGGGCTTGATCTCAACCTGGTTGAACTCCTTACCGGAGTAGATACCGACGACGGAGCCGATCATCTCGGGGACGACGATCATGTCACGGAGGTGGGTCTTGACGAGGTCGGGCTTCTCGTTGGGCTTGGCCTCCTGCTTGGCCTTGCGAAGCTTCTTGATGAGACCCATGGGCTTGCGCTTCAGACCGCGGTTGAAACGTCTGCGGGCACGGGCGTGAACGACATCACGGAGCTGCTCGGAAGAGAGGTCGAGGAGCCTGCAAGATTTGGTTAGAACCGTGTCCTTTGGGAGATGCCTTGGGTTTCATTCGCAGCGCAGCATCAAATATGTAACAATATCAAAAGCGCAGCCATGGTGTAATGGCAGGTGTGGCAAGAGGGGCTGACTGCGAATGGACTTCCAAGGGTTCGAAAATTTGGTGGGAACGTACTGGTCGAGGTCAATACCGCGGTAAGAAAACTTGCGGAACTGTCTTCTCTTCTTGATCTCTGTACGGCGAAGATTCAGTCAGCCTCTGCCATCTCGTTGTCGTGTGTGCGTATCCCCTGTGCCCAGGTCATATTCGTCCCCCGCCAACGTGAAATCCATTTCATCCTCATCTCATTATTGACCATGCGTGCGTTCTCCTTCTTCATTTGGTTCTTCTGTCCTTGGGCGATGGGTTGCGAATAGGTTTAATCATAACGTACCGGCAGCCTCCTCGGCGTTCTAAATGGAAACTCATTAGCATATCGCACGGTGCTTTGAGAGACGAAATAAAAAAACTCACGTATTCGTGGTCAGCCATTTTTGCAGAAGTTCCTTCGGGTCGCTTTTCGTTTCTGAAAAGCGAAGGAAAATGGGTTGTCGGAAATTGTCGTGTCGCTGAGCGGTCTGCTGCTAACACACTGGGTTTGGGAGGTGGGCAGGGCTCGTTAAGCGACGGGTAGGTTCAAGCCCTATGCGCTAGACCCGATTGGGAAAATTGTAATTTATTTCGAAACATACGTTTAGGTCGGGTAATATTACGCTTTGTAATCTTATTTACTCGATCTTGCTTGGTAGATGTCCGCAAATTCTTGTACCTTGATGGTAATTTTTAGTATTATCATTACGCATGGTTCGTATGGAGGCACTCAGTATCTGGACTTGATAACAATGAGATCTACGGACGTAGATGCGGAACCATAGTCCCTAATAGATTCGCAATTCGCGATTCGCCTACTTGCTATCGCCGCAAAAACAACGAGTACGTTTAATGGAAGTAATGAGGACCAGATAATCTGTATTGGCTAGGAGCTGTTTCCAGCTCACATATGACAAAGTTTCAACCATATCAAAACAGTCTGAACGATACACATCCGAGAAGCCAGCCGGTGCAAAGGCTTGCCCGGACTGACGAACCAGCCAGACATCTGCTCTCCCAGGTCATGATTTTTGAGGCCGTGGAGGATGAGACGCTTAGTCGAAGAGTCCGAATCCCATGTCCTCGTCGGACTCCTCCTCCTCCTTCTCCTCCTTCTTCTCCTCAGCGGGAGCGGCGGCACCACCGGCGGCGGCGGCGGCGGGGGCAGCAGCACCACCACCACCGGAGGGAACGGAGGCGAGCTTGGTGGAGCCCTCGGAGATCAGCTGTAGAGATTGATTAGTACTGTATTCAGTGCACTTGGTGGTGAATTCGACTAACCTCCTGGAGGTTCTTGCCCTCGAGCTCAGCGATGACCTTGTCAAGACGGTCACCCTCAGCGTCGATGCCGACGGAGGAGAGGACGGACTTGATGTCGGCAGCGGAGGGGGTCTCGTTGCCGGCAAGGGCGAGGAGAAGGTAGGCAGCGAGGTACTTCATTTTGAATAGACTGATCGAATTTCTTCGTTAGAATCTGGATTTGAAGATAGGGATGCGACTGCAGGTTGCGATGCGCAGGAGACGTCTGGCTGGCTAGCATCAGAAAAAAGGCGTACGTACCGTTGTAGATTATTATCTGAACAAGAGAAACAATCGATTTAACCGCAAGTTGGGCGGAGACTGCAACGTCAGGTTCTGGTTGAAGAGGTTGGTTGACGAAGGATGAACCGACTCGCCAAAATCTTAAGAAAAAGTGTGGTGCGAGCGGGTGTGGCTGGTGCCGGCAAAACTTCTAAGCGAGTTATGTGGCGCAGGCAGGTTGGCTACCACGTGACCACTTCTCTAAATGTTGGCATTTACGTAGTTAATCGCCCACTTGTTCTTTTCATTCATAAAAGTCTTCCCATTCAAATCTGTCAGGGCGGAAGTGCACCATATTGTGTCTGTTGTGCTATTGAGAGCAATAGATCAATAGAACGTGCCAGAAGGAGCCAACCAGACATCTCCTCCCAGCTATCGGGCTCGGAGTCATGAAGTTACTTAGTACCAACCATCGACGGTGAGCGTGACTTCTTCTCTGTACCACTTCTACACCATCTCCCAACTGTTCACCTCTTCTCTTAAACAACTCCACCATGAGTGTATGGCCCTTTCCCCCTTTGTTTGACGTCACTATCTCTAAACATCTAATAGTTTCTTGACTCGGTTCTCTCGTCTCTCCAGACGGGCAAGCCCTCTCCCCTCCCGCCGTCCCAAGCGCCAGCGGTGCCAGCGCCATCTGCAGCCCCCAGAAAAGACGAGCGGAAGCCAACCGCTGTGCGACAGGCGCCCCCTCCAAGTGGCAATGTCAGTGGAGGTCTGAAGCGCAAGGCTGAGGACCAGCTGGCTCGGCCAGTGAAGCCTGAATCGAAGGTGGGGAGCAAGCCCGCAATCACGAAACCCGCTGCTACCAAGCCACCTATCTCATCTGCGGCACCCAAGGCTCTGCCCAAACCCGCTTCGACCATCACCTCCAGGCCAGCTCCTGTGAAGCCTGTATCAAAAATCGGCACATCCACAGCCACAAAAGCAGCACCTGCACCCAAGGTGCCGACTAAGCCAGCGGCTGCAGTTACCCCCTCCAAACCCCCACCAAAGGGATCTTTCGCGGAGATTATGGCAAAGGCACAGGCCTTGCAAGACAAGGCCCCAACGAATGCCGGTACGCTACGACACCAGCCGGTTCCCAAGGAGAGACTCAGCAAAGTCGAACGCAAGAGACGGGCCATGGAAGCACAGGCAAAAGAAAAAGAAGCCCGCTTAGGAAAGAAGCCTGCACCTGGCGCTACTGGCAAGGACCGGATTGCCCTCACAAAGCGAAGCTCCGACGGCCCATCTTACAAAGGTACCGCCAAACCCGCCAAACATACACAAACCCCCGAGCCGCCTGCTTATCGTGGTACCGCGGGCTTGCCATCTAGTCGCGGTGGAGGTGACCGCAGACACCAATCTCGCAATGGCCGATCACGCCAAGATGAATACCTTGGAACTGACGAGGAAGATGAGGGTGACTACGGTGGTTATGGTGGTTACGATGATTATTACTCTGATGAATCGTCCGACATGGAGGCTGGACTAGACGATGTGGATCGTGAAGAGGCCGCCGCGTTGAAGTTTGCCAAACGAGAAGATGAGGAAGAGCTCCGCCAGGAGATGGCAGCAAAGAAAGAGAAGTTGGCACGCCAGCGGAAGCTGGCTGCTCTTGCCTCCCGCAAGCGTTAATTATATTTTTACTCTTTCGGTTCTATTTATCTGAAACTGACCCATTTTCATCCTGGCTCTTTTTCCTTTGTTCTTGGGGGAGCTTTTTTTTGTACTCAGCATTATGAGCGTGTGGAGCACCCATAGAGGGTGTTCTATCTTTTTTTTTTTTTTTTGCTTTGAAGCACCATCCATAGCGGGCGTCTTACCAATACCAACTTGCTTTTTACACCTATGACTTGATATGTACATCTGGATACGTAATTGTAGTGAAGTCAGTAGTAACAGGCTTGTCATGGCCCCACTTGGCAGTGAGTGACATCACCCGAGAGCTTCACCTTTACTCCTCCAAATATCTCTCTAGACCTGACTTCAGTTTTGCATACCTGCATTCCCATCATGGAGTCTGTTCATCATGTCTCGGTCTCTTCAAAGATCCTCTTCAGTAAGGTGCGCAAGATTGTGCCCCCAATGCTAGAAAAGTTCCACAAAGGTTTGTTGTGCCAGTGTCACCCTCGGGTCGATTAGAGGATCCCAAGTTTGATGATAGACCATCATATATGTATAGAAGCTGACTTCATGACCAGGACAGCTTGGTCGTGTGGCCGTCATTGGGGGGTGCGCTGAGTAGGTACTCGGTCCCAATGGCATTGGCATCGCGCTAACTGATAAGTTATACCGGCGCTCCATACTTCTCCGCCATGGCCTCTGCAAGACTTGGTAAGTCTCCCGTGGCGATGCATAAAATTACACCGGTACTGACCGTATAATCACAGGATGTGACATGGTAGGTGAAAAACAAGATATGGCCCTCGCCCACGACTAACGACAACCAGAGCCACGTCCTCTGTGAGCCAACCGCAGCACCGGTAAGTTCAAGTTCCCTCAGTAATAGCATCTACATAATAACACGCGCACAGGTCATCAAGGGTTACTCCCCAAACCTGATGGTACACCCATTACTCCCAAGCATCGACACAGTCGAAGACCCCAACTCAATCGACGTATCATCACTAGCAGGCCCAATAATCGGCATGCTGTCACGACTACACGCACTCGTCATCGGCCCAGGTCTTGGCCGCGACGGAGTCACTCTCAAGGTAGTTGCCGAAGTGATCCGAGAAGCGCGGTCACGATCCATCCCATTTGTGCTAGACGCAGATGGGCTGCTGATTGTAACAGAAGACCCGAACCTGGTCAAGGGATACAAGGATTGTATCCTCACGCCCAACGTGGTTGAATTCGGCCGTCTTGCCAAAGCGCTGGGTATCGAGGTCGCCAGCCCGGCGGAGGTAGCGAAGAGCGGGGGAAGCGACGTGACCAGCAAGGAATCAGATGCCTGTGAGCAGCTATCTCGAGCTCTCGGTGGTGTGACAATTGTCCAGAAGGGTCCTCATGATGTGATTTCCAATGGGGTTACTAGTATTATTGCTGATACGAAGGGTGGCTTGAAGCGTAGTGGTGGTCAGGGAGATACCCTGACAGGATCGTTGGCGACATTGCTTGCCTGGAGAATGGCTTATCATGATAAGTTGTGGGACTCAGGTGAGAAGGATAATGAGAAGGAGGCACAGAACAAAGAGGATGTTCAGGCGGAACTTGAGTCTGAGAATATGCGCATGTCTCCGGCAACGACGCTGCTTCTGGCGGCTTGGGCTGGAAGCAGTATTACGCGGGAATGCTCGCGGCGGGCGTTCAAGGCCAAAGGGCGGAGTATGCAGGCTAGTGATCTGACTGACGAAGTGCATCATGCATTTTTAGTTCTGATTGGGGAGCCAGAGGGATCTCAGACGCATCTTTAGGCTTCCGCTTTGGATGATATTGGGTACGAGTCTATGTGTATGGAGGACAGTCTAGCTAGTGGATATGCCTACGCAGTCCTCTGATCGAGGAATCCTACCTGAACATAAGACAGGCCAATGAATATATCATTTCGACCTTCGTGACGATTCTCGTATCCCATACGTGCAGCTAACACAAAAAAAGGGTCCAGATCCCTGCATCCATTTTCCAAGCGTCCCAGTTCAATATTCCAGCCTTAGTTGCGCTTACTTTGTACGAGGTGCATATATGGTAACACAGAGGTTCTCGTGTTGTATGTATCTCCTCCAAAAGAGAAAGAGGGGAGGTGGGGGGGAAATAAAGTATATCGTATTGAAGGCCTCGACTATCAATAAACAAGGCCATTCCTAGTCGGTTGATAAAGGATCATTAGATCCCGGTTATTAGAAGGGTAAGTCAAAAGCACAGTAAAGAACCGTAATCTAAATTGGCGGTAGATTGACTGACGGAAATGGCTCACTTCCAATTTAACGTCTGACAAACTAGAACGGAACACAGATGGCGTATGTAGATACATGGGATTCCCACAAGAAAACTATCACAACAGTGTGCAATCTGTCCCTCGGATCAATTCATGTGCACAGTACGAGAGGACCTTGAAAGCGAATTTCCAAGTGGCTGCAATCATACTGACGGATCATTTTACGTCAACTATACCAACATAAATGAAATAGACACTCATGATGAATATGCCATGGGCACTTGAGGACCATAGGTGAGACAGCACTGCCTTCTAGAGAGTCACGCTCATTAGAACTGCCGCTTATTTCGAGCTGCCCAAATAATTAGCGGATTTGCTGGACCTGTGTTAGATCCAAATCGTCATAATATTTACAAAGAACATTGTGAGTAGGCTGGCTACAGGGCTCGGAACAGGCCGAGAAAGCAGGGTGATGGAGCTCGTCATGCTTGGATGTGGGTTGGTTGTCTGGGTGAACATGTTCATTAAGTATAACTGATGATGTATAGGCCATATAGTTCAATCTAGACGGTAATGCAAGGGGCCAGGCTCAATGCGAGAAATGAAAAGCATTTAAACAAAATGCATGAGAATATTGTAGCTATATCCAGAAACAAAAAGTCCCTATATAGCACTGGCTCCGAATAGCCAGGAGACTTTCCACGTTATTAAAGACTAATCTAAGTTTCCCCGAGAGCAATAAACGAATATGCAATCTGAAATTATTGGTTTCGATCGAGTCCCCCAGTACAATCTGTATACAGGACGAATATACTACAGGGGTCATAAGTCCTTTCACATCCCCGCCTTTATATACTCTATATGACTAACCTGAGTCACTCAAACTGAGCACAAAAGAGGTGAACAAAACGAGGCCAAAGTAGGGCGAGAAGAATGCATAAAACGATATACTCGCTTCGAAGCTTTCGAGTAGAAACTGTCCAATACTTCATGGCACAGTGTACACATTTATGATTCCTGTTGTAGATTATTGCCCTAGATGACAGGGATATTTTACAAGAATGGAAAACAATGTGTCACGGCCCTTGCTTCAACCTTGAATAACCTAGCCCAGTGCCTTATTCTCGCTTGCTGAAATCCGTCTTTCGCCAGGTTCCAGAGCCCGCTGACGAAAGAAGTAGGATTTGCATATGGCGACGTATCCAGGTCAGAGAACACAAAGCTATTAAACTCAAGCGGTGTGAGACAACTGCAAAGACAACTCAACTCAAGCTCTTCCCCGCATTTCTATACATAGAATCGAAGAATGGTTGGCAGTCGAGCGTGGGATGCGGTTGGGGCAATGCATAGCCTGAGACATGCCCCAGGGCTGAACCCCTCAGATGCAAGAGTTGACGTCCCCCATTCATAGCATGGTTGCTCAAAGCAAATTTGAGCCGACACGCCATTGCCATTGCCTTGTTCAATGAGCACTGACAATGTCTCGAATCTTTGTTCCAGATCTCGTATTCAGACTCACCCAATCCCGGATCCGGTGGCTCTGATCCCCCATCCTATCCGATGAAAGAGAAGCAACATTGCAACCATGGAAACCCGTATATGATACGATCACCCTCTGAGATCATCATCTATACTTGGAGACCAAAGCCGGAGATGCCCGCGTGATGTGACGCTGATGGACAAACTGCAGGGAATAGGCCGGATGCGCATCCGCACGGAAAACCAAAAGAATCCAAACAACAGAAATGACATGACATACGAGCATCATGTAGCCTAGAAGCAAAGTCTATAAAGATGACGACTCTCCCAGCAAAAGATAACGCCATCAAAAACCAATCCACGGACAATAACAAAGCACACGCCTCAAGTTCTACTACAAGTCTATACTCAAACCCAACCTCCGATCAAGATGCACATCTTCACCTTGGCTTTGATCATCGGCACCGCTTCTCTGGTCGCCGCGAACGTAAAGCCGCCTCCACCATGCGGTACCTGCAACCCTGTCTCCGGCAAGAATCGCTGTGATGTGACCACCTCGTGCATCAACACTGGCACATCCTTCCACTGCGCCTGCCGTGCTGGCTATAAGGCGTCACAGAATAACAACGATGTCAGTCGTCAGTTCCGCCTGCCGATGCCGAACTATGAGTTCCTTGTTTTCGTTCCTGAGAATACGGCTTGCAATACTCTTTGCAACAATCCCTTCGGTATGCCGTCGGAGCTCTGTAATGAGGTTAAACTTTACAACCAGTGCCCGGCTTAAAGCGAAGTAGTGCAGGCCTAGGTTTGCCTGTGGGTTTAATTGGAGAGGAAGTTGGAGATGAAGGCAACTTCTACATTCGAGGATAAGTTACTCACGGGCCCTGGGGAGTTTAGTTTTGGTGGCGCCAGAGATTCTGGGGTTAGCTCTATAGCACAATGTCGCTCCTTAAAGTTAATCGAATATGGTTTATACATGGAACTGAGACGCCGTACCAAAATTAAAAAGTAAATTGGATGATCTTTTGATTGACCCTACAAAATCGTAAGAACCGGCTCCATATTCCCGAGAATACACCCAAACACCCGTTGCCTTAAACTCAGCCTGTTTCACATGCATCTTTAACAGGCACAAAAAGCCCGGTCGACATTCAAGAAGGAAAAAACAAGATAAATAAGCTTCACAATTACATGCCCATATCAGCGTCAACTTCAGTGAAGAGCAGACGTGTGCCGTTGCCAGTGACTTGCCAGAGCTGGAAGGTATAGAGTTAGTAAATGCGCAAAATGAGCTGGGAGATAGTTCAAAACTTACGTCCATAGCGGCGTATTCATCAATAGTCATGGTGAGGTTATCCTCGGTGAAGCCACGGGCCAACACTCTCTCACGGATACGTCTCATGCTCATCTCACCCTCCTCGCCATCACCAACGGCAGCGGCACCACTCTCCTTCATGCTGCGGATCAAGTTGTAGATCTTGCTGGAAGGAGTGTTGTCGGCGCCGGACTCGCCGTCGTTGTACAGAGAAGCCTTAGAGATCTCAATGAGACGCAGAGCCTCATCGACATCTTCACGAACAACCTCCTCACTGAAGCGAAGACGAGCAAGGGCCTGTGACAGACGAACAATACCGAGCAGGGTACGAGGGGTGACGTGAGAGAACTGTCTCTTCTTGGACTCATCGACCTTTTGACGCTTGCGCATGGCCACATAGGCACCAACCATGTAGTCGGACACGTTGGAAGGCACAACAGGGCGGAATGATCGAGCCTTGGCGATGTACTGGCGAACCTCGTGGGGAGTGAACATCACACCAGAGTCTTCGGTCTCGGGGTGCTTGTTGTGCATGTGGACGTAGGTGACGTGGTTGGCGAGTTCCTCGTCACCCTCGCGGGATGGGGTATCAAGTAGCAGGAACATCACATCGAAACGAGATAGCAAAGCGGCGGGGAGGTTGATGTTCTCAACGGGGGACAAGCGAGGGTTGTACCGGCCGTACAGCGGGTTAGCTGCTGCCAGAATGGAAGTGCGCGCATTAAGGGTAGTGTTGATTCCGGCCTTGGAGATAGAGATGGTTTGCTGTTCCATCACTTCGTGAATAGCTGTCCGGTCTGAGTCCTCCATTTTGTCAAACTCATCAATACAGCAGATTCCGTTGTCAGCAAGGACAAGAGCACCTCCCTCTAATACCATCTCGTCGGTAACAGGATCTCTCATGACGGCGGCAGTAAGACCGACGCCACTGCTTCCTCGTCCGGTGGTGTACACACCACGAGGAGCGACCTTGGTAATATATCGAAGTAGTTGGGATTTGGCCACACCAGGGTCACCCATCAGGCAAATGTTAATGTCACCACGAATGTGCATGCCGTCACCCATCTCCTTCGTGACACCTCCAATCAACAGCAAGAGCAATGCCTTCTTGACATCAAGGTGTCCGTAGATTTCGGGTGCAATCGACCGGGAAAGGTACTCGTACATATTACCAGAGCGCTGGTGCTGTTCGATCTTGCGAAGAGTCCGGCTGTCCATGCCCATCTCATTGTAGGACTTCTTGTGCTGGGTAATGTGCTGAGCCTCCAGATAAGTGTCGGTCAGTAGGCCAGCGCGAATAGCTCTAAAACCGGTGTAGGGAGTGGGCAGGAAGATGCCAGCAATGTCGACAACATCACCGGGGTTCAGTTGACGAGTGAGAGCACCATGGCAGTGAACTGTCAGGGTGCGAGGAATGTGGCCCACCGGTACTTGGTCGGCCATCTCCTGGACCTTAACTTCCTGGAAGGGAACGAATTTGGAAGCACGGGTGGACAGGAACAACTGGCCCTTGGAGTTGTTCTTCTTGCATTCATCCGACAGACACTCGGACAAAGGAAGGAACTGCTTGGTGGTGACGGGTTGGAAGACTTCGCAGCCACAGCGATCGCAAGTGTAGGCGTTGATCTGAACAGCGGGCTTGACATCGGAGACACGGGTGGTAATACCTCGCACAGTGATCAAGCTACCCAGGTGCTCACCACGCACACTGCGAACGGCGAGGGCTTTAGATTCGACGCTAGAGC